TCTATAGCTTTTCTTCTTCCTTCCTAATTACAACCCTTAAATAGAATTCGTGCCTCATATCGAATTTACCGAGTATCATAATTCCTCCAGGTGGTAAAGATACCTCGAGACAAGTGCTGGGCATAGAAGCCACAGGGCATAAATCTGCAAAGAAGTAAAAAGCTAACCTTTGCAAACAATATGGCTTCTCTCTCACTTACCAACTTTACATTTCCCTGTATGGCCCCGGAAGATGACTGGTTAGCCAGAGACGGGTAAGATTCCTCAAGGGAGGAACAACCTAAGACAGGCACAGTCACAGGGGGGCCATCAGGTGAGAAAGTGGGGACCAACAGAGGTGAGGCTTAGAATCTCACCCCCTGTTTTGAGAGAAATCTTCTGCATCCGTGGATGTTTTGTTGCCCTTGTGTAGCTTGGAATAATACTTAGTCTATAGGCACAGACCTGATCATCTACATTTGCCCTCTTACAGCACTAAACTATGTTTTCTACCTTTATCTTGCATCTACCATCTACCTACGACTTCAGCATTTTATCAAAAATAACAATAATAATAATAACAATAATAATAAGGGTGAAATGTGGGATTCACAATAAATCAAGTATAAAAATCAAATGAATAATCATAATTGACCTGATTGTTTATAGTTCATGATGCATGATCAAAACTGAAAGTTTCTGTGATGACTGCCCTTGCACTGTTCACCATGTAAGAACTTATTCACTCTGTAAGAACTTGTTCACCATGTAAAAACTTGTTCGTTATGTTTCAGAAGATTGGAGACTGTTGAGAATTAGGCGTGGGGTTGATTAATGATTGTGCATTGACTCCCCTATACAGAATTTTATTGTTGTTAACAACCATATGATCAATAAATATGAGAGATGCCTTCTCAAAAACAAAAAAAACAACAAAAAAAATCTAGACTACATCACTTTCCAATCAGCTAATATCAACCCAAATATTGCCAGTATACAAAGCCCAGTATACTGTATTCCTAGAAAGTTATAAGAAAACTTTCACAAAGTAATTTTTGAGTACTACATCAGTTTTAGAAGCATATATTTTGCTTTTAGACAGACTTGAATTCAAATCCTACCTCTTCTGTGTAATCTAGGGAACTACTTAACCTCCGTGAACTTCAGTTCCCTCATTTGCAAAATGGAAACAACAAACAGTTCATAAATTATTTCATTTAATCTTCACAAAAACCTTTATTTTTAAATTGCTTAGCATACTGCCTGGCACATAATAAATAATAAATGGTATAGCAAGTTACTATTTTTAGGGCAATAATATCTAAGAAGTATAATTTAGCTAATTAGGTAACAATATTCAACAGCTACGAAAACAGTTTCCAGGACTCATAATTTTCAAGTTTCATGCAAATCTTGGAATAAATATTTTGATTAGATTATATAAAAGTCAACATAATAAAACACTGTTTATACACTGGTCAGTTTGAGAGCTAAGATAAAAGAAATCACATACTATTACAATGAAGCATTCAGACTACCCAATGTACTGTGAAAACTGAAAGGTTTTACTAACTGGTGTGAAATGGGGATAGGGAAGATGAACTGAAGAAATCTACTGTTGAGGCAGATTATGTTGATGATCTGAACATATAAAATCAGTCAGGCTGTAGTTTCTAAGCATAACAGACTGGTGAAATGGAGTGGCAAATCTTGCAAGCTGGAGTAACACTGGTGATCTTTGTATTTAAACATGATAGACAATAAATCTACGTTTTCTACCATTCATATGACAATAATATGTAATAATGCTAGGAAGGGGTCTATCAGTGCCACAATATCAACAGATGTGTCACTATAGCAAGATTTTTCAAAGTTCTCTGTTGTCTGAAAGAACAAGGTAGTATCAGGCAACTAATAGAGGCAACTAATAGAGGGTTTGTCTTCACTCTTCCATGTATTGACTATGTGACCTTGGGTAAGTTACCTAACTTCTCTGTACCTTAGTTCCATCATCTGTAAAATAGGAATAATAATAGGACCCACTCTAAAGTAACAGTTTTAAGAATTAAAGGAATTAATATATGTAGAGTACTTAAAACAGTGCCTGTCATACAGCAAGTATTCAGTAAGCATTAGCTATTATCATCATCATTATTATTATTACTAGCCACTAAGCTTATCTGGTTGACTCTTTAACAGCATGGGAGTTAGGGGCACTGACCTCTTGTGCAGCTGAAAATCTGTGTATAACTTTTGATTCCCCAAAAAAGTTAACTAGCCTACTACTGACTAGAAGACTCACCAATAAAAAAGTTGATTAGCAAATATTTTTCATGCTGTTTCTGGTACTGTATTTCCATAATAAAGCTAGAAAAAAGATTAGGAAAATCATATGGAAAATACATTTATAGTACATTAATTCCTGAAATAAATCTGCATATAAGTCAACCTGTACAGTTCAAAACTGTGTTGTTCAAGGGTCAACTGCAGTTGTTTGATATGTTGAGTATTCTGAGAGAAAGAATCAGACCTGTCAACTCTGAGAACGTTGAGCTGTAGACACTGTGCTGGTATTAAAAGCACACCGATTTTTCAGTGTACTCCTCAAAACTTCAACTAAAAATATCCACATTTACCTCCATTCTATTCTGAATCAGCCCTTTTTATCAGAAGTCACATTCTCAATTTTTTTTGCATTGTCTGAACGGATTACCCTAACACCACAAGAGATCCTTACAGAGTATCCAGAGGAACAGCACACACTAAAGTAATAAAGTAACCAAATTAAAGTCAACAAATTAAAACCTTATTTTAAATTGGGGGGAAAAAGCCAACCCCAATGCTCAGTACCTCTTCAACACCAGACAGTTTTGATTTAAGTTCTCTGACAGTAGAGTCTCCTTTATATTTCCTTTCAGTTAAGTCTTTATTAGCCGCTTCTAACTCAGACAATCTGTTTTGTAGCTGCTGGATGTTTCGTTGATGGAGGACTTCTAAATCTTTCTTTTGTTGTTCATACTGCTGTTGGTATTGAACCTGTGCCTATTATATAATAAAAATGTAGTATGAAAATTTAGAGAAAAAACAAATACAAATACAGGAAGATTTGAAGAAAAAACAATCTTAATTGTTCTTTATAAGATGCCCTGTTTTGAAAAGGATCTATTTTCAATTATGAATTTCAAGAAGGCAAAAGTAAGGTAAAAAAAACCAAATTTTACCACTATGATCCTGTTCATAATTTCTGTTTCTCCTAAACTCATATATGTTTAGGAATAATGGTCAAGTTAAGGGAACAATGATATACGACTAAGTAAAGAAAACGAACTACAAAATAGTATATATGGCGTGAACCTATTTGTGTTAAAAAAAAAAAAAGAGTGGTTATATAAGGCACTTTCGGCATTTGCTTTAAACACCAATACACTCTTTCAGTTTTTTTTACCAGTAAAAAATCTTCATAATGCTTCCTAATGAAAAAAAAAAAACACCTAAATTTATAAAAACAGCAAGGTATTGTTCATTAGTTCAGTCTTACATTAACCGTGTAATCTCAGTGCCTGTGTGAATCATACCACAAACCTATCTTAATATCTGTTAGTGAATACTATTAAATCCTAAATACTTCTTAAAATATAGTTTTGTAATTATGAAAGTTATACATGCTCTTAAAGGCATAAGGAAAGAAACAAATAATTGATAATCTCATTCAGGGAGTCAATCTAAATATTTAGGGATATTCCTTTTCAGTCACTTATATACTTACATTGGCATCAATCCATACACACACAACATATTTAAATTAAACAAATTAAGACCAAGCTATTTATACAACTTAATCCTGCTTTCACATCATTAAAAAACTCTTTATAAAAAATAATTTAATATCCACACAATATGCCATCCTATGACTATACTATAACTCATTTAAACCCTCCCTACTACGGACAGAGTTTCTAATTTTTCACATTACAAATAGAACTATAATTAAAATTTTTGTACACAGACATACATCCAAAATTCCGATTTCTTCCTTGTGATTTATAGGTCAGAGAACGTAAACAAACACAAAGCTTGATACAAATTCCAAAATACATTCCAGAAAGTTGTACCCATTCAAACAGTCCTACCACAGGGTATGGGAGTGTCTCTCTTAATAAAACTATTTGAGAATTTTATATTACTTCTTTAGAAATTTCCTCTTTTTTAGAAAATTGGAAAGGAGAGAAGGAAATGAAAGAGACAAACAGTGAAGAGAGTCCCTATAAATCTAAAAATGCAACCTTAGGAGAAAACACTGAAAGAAGCAATCAAGGAGGAAAAAAAAAGGAACAAACTGGTAAACACGCAAACTGTAATTAAAAGGATAATCAAATACACTGAAGGCAAGAGAGACCAGAGGCAATAAAAATAAACAACTCATTTTATACCAGTAACTATAAGAATTTTGGAATTTTTGTTTAAAATAATTTTAAGTGTGAGCAAAAGGATTACAATGTTTACATTTAGGATTACAATTTACATTTTCTACTTTATTCATTTCAGGTGATTCTGATGCCACTAAAGTTTTACAATCACTACCCTACAGAATACCTATCAGCAGGAAGAGAAGAGTGGCCTGGTTTTAAAGTTTCAAAGGACTGATTCGCAATCCTATTAGAAAATGCACTAAGCAATGCAAACAAATCCTTCAGTCACTTTAAAGTTATAAACAAATGCACTATGATAAGACTTATAGAATCTAACTTGTTTGGAAATACAGCTCCTCCAAAATTTAATAAATAACAGAAATTAATGAAATGAGAAAACCATGTGGAATTAATGATATGAAAAACCGGTCCTTCAAAAACATTAAAAAACAGACACACTGTCAGGTAGCATTTTAAAAAGAAAGGACAAGACAAATTATGAAGACAAGAGAAATGACAAGAAGATTTTAAAAATCATAAAACAATATGTGATATTGTATCAACATATTTAAACACTTAGATGAACTACATGGCTTTTTGAGGAAATATAAATTATAAAACTAACTCAACAAAGAAAAGAAAATCCAGAGACCAATAATCATGGAGAAAATGGGAAAAGAACCTAAAGATAAATGCCTCTAAAAGGCACTAGACCCAAATGATCAAAGGCTTTCAAGAAATAGATAATTCTTTGTTATTTGACTTTTTCAAAGCATAGAGAAAACTAGAAAATGTTCTCATTCATTTCATGATGATAGCATAATTCTAGTAATAGAGTCTATAGCCCATACTTTTAATTAGCATACTAAGACAGAATTCAGAAAAAGGGTAGTCTCAGACCAATCTCACCAATGAGTACCAATACAACTTGACTCACAGGATATTAAACATCTCTTTGACTAAGCAGTATTCTATGAATTCAAAGATGGTTTCACATTTCAAAATACATCATTGTCATTTATTACAACATTAAAGTGGAAAAAAAATGGTATGATTATTTGATTAAATCGCCAAAAAATTACTTCACCAGACTTGGCACTCTGATTAAAACTCTTAGGAAGCTGGAACAGAATTAAACTTTCTCAAATGCAGAGCAAACATCATACCTAATGGTAAGATCTTTTAGTTGTTTACCAAAAAAAACTGGAACAAGTATTCTACTATTCAGTATTTTTCTGTACAAGAGAAAAAAAGGACATGTATCTTAGGAAGAGATAAATTACTATTTTTTACAGTTGCAGATCTACAGGAAAAACTAAAAGAATCAACTCCAAAACTATCAGAATATGTAAATACACAAATACGTAGGACTGATGCACAATCCCATTAGAAAATGTAATCAGGAATTAATGGGTATGACATTAATACACATATTAATCAACGATTTGAAAATTATCACAGTGGAGTGTAGATGGTACCATCTATAGAGCAAAGTCCTGTAAAATCTCTAGGCAAAAACATTTAACAAGAATACTGTTTTTAAAAAAGGAAGAGACAAAAAGGAGGGAAATAAAGAGTTAAACTATAAGCCTGTTTTAAACAAATAAGACCTGAATAAGTGAAAAGATATTTCTCTTTACTGGATAAGAAAATTCCAAAGGTATCAGTTCTTTGCAACAGCCCAGATACAAGCCCAAATACAAAAAGGAACTTAGTATATAGTAACAGTTGCTTTTTAAATCACTGGGAAATGTGGTGTTAGAACAACTGACTGACTATATGTCAAAAAAAAAAAAAACTATCTCATATGTGCTCCATAAAAATGTATTTCAAACAGATTAAAGAGTTAAATAAGACAATAAAAGTTATTATAAAAGTATCAGAAAAAAATACTGAAGAATATCTCTCATAATCTTGGGAGTGGCAAAGGCTTTCCAAACATGAAATAAAGCCTTCACTGTTAAGGACAGAAACTGACAGATTTGATGACATTCAAATAAAAAGAACTATGTATGGCAAAAGATACCAGTATATGACAATGATAGGCTGAGAGATGCTTATAACATACATAACAGATAAAAGTATGTCCTTTACCTTATATCATAAAAAATGAAGCAAGGCATAGTCAGAAAACATTGGCAATGCGTACATCTGACAAAGGACTCATGTCCATGGTATTCAAAGGATTTCTACAAATCAGTAAGAAAAATACTAATAACCGATTTAAAGTGGGCTAAAGAACAGGCACATTACAAGAGTTTTAAGTTGTCAATATGCATATGAAAAAGAGTCCATAACTACATGGTACTATACACCGCAGAATGGCAGTATAAATTGATATATTCCCTTTGGTAGCTTAGCAGTTTCTACTAAAGCTAAACATATGCCTACACTAGAACCTAGCCATTCCAATTCTAAATATATGTCCAAGGAAAATGAGTGCCTATGTTCACAAAAAAGCATGTACAAGAATGTTCACAGCAGTTTAATGAATAATAGCAAAATATCAGAAACAATGCAAATGTCTACCAACAGGAAAACAGATAAATTATGGCATATTCGTATAACAAAATATGACACGATGATAAAAAGAAACACACAAGAACATAACTGAATCTCAGAGATACTATGCTGAGTGAAGGAAGCCACACGCAAATGAGTATATACTATATAATTCCATTTATACGAAATTGGAGAACAGATAGAACTAACCAACGATGGAAGTCAGAAGAGCGATAACCTGTGGGAAGATGCTAATGGATTGGAAAGGCACACAAGGGAACCTAGAAGGGTGGTACAACTCTCTGAATCTTAATTTGGGTGAAAGTTACATGTAAAAATATGGGCAAGATGTAGTCTTAAAAGTGAACATCTAGTAAAGTGTATAAAAACAAAAACAAAATTTAATGAAGAAGCTATGATATAAAAGGTGAAAAATCCACACTACAAAGCAGTAGAAAATGATAGTCACACAAAAACATAAGCAAAATACATTAAAAAGTAATCCATGGGATAAAAATGTCTGAGTCATATTAAAAGATGCTTATCTTCACTAAAAGTCTAAGAAATATAAATTACAACTAATACTACTCTTAACACCTCTTCAGTGGCAAATATTAAGAATAGTAATAATAGTATCAAGAGCATGGGAAAATAAGTACTACCGCAAACTATCTTTGGGATTCTATTTGGTACAACCTTTTTGGGTGGCAAACTTGCAATATCCATTAATATTTTATGTGTGTATATTGCAGTATCACTTCTAGGAACAAAGAACAATCACTGCAGTATTACTAACAATAACCAAAATTTTGAAGCATTTAAATGTCCACTCGTTGGGTAAGTAGTTAAAGAATTTATGTTATGTCCAAATAATGAATATTATGCAGCCACTAGAAAGGAATATCTGAACTAATAATGGTATCTATGCTGCCATGTTAGATGAAATAAGTCACAATCAGTATACCCAGTAGGACCTCACTTAGCAATGAACAGAACAAGAACCCACTATGTGTGTACATATATATCAACAATTATATACAAGTTACATATTTCTGAATTTATAAATATCAACAAATATTTATAACATATAGAGAAAAGTCTGGAAATACATTGAAATGCTTATAAATTATC